AAAGATCAAACGTTCGATATATTTTTTGGGACACTCTGTATAATGTTGTTTTCTATAGAAACTCCGGTGATTCGAAAGAGATAGCTTTTTATTGATTGCGTAAGCTTCCATCAGACATATTAAGAGTATTCCGAAATATGTTATATGTCATACATATAGACTCCTAAAATTTCTTCACAGTCTTGCTTCGTTTCTTGCTTTCTCCAGAGGGAGTGAGTTTAGAAGATACGGTATGCTAGTGAAAGAAGAGGTTGTGCGTTTTACACGATCTTGAAGATATAAACAGTGCGCTATACAGTCGGAACCTTCTTCAAAGCTGCAAGTGAGCAAAGAATCACACAGAATTTAGCCAATCAAAATTTCTTCTTCGGATGTGAAGTCTGGAAATCGCTCCAAAAAGGCTTGGATCAATCGGAAAATGCTTATGCAAAGGATTGCAATCACATATTTTGGTTTTTCGGCCCTGCTGTACTTATTGGATGGTCAGTAGATCACTAAGAGGAAATCTCCAGAGAAGGCACGGCTATTTGAGCTCTGCTTTATACTTGATGCTAGGCGTAAACCTTGGTTCTAAAATATACAGAAGAGCTGCCCAAAAAGGAAAGCGCAGAAAAACAATTTCCTGGCAAATATCAGAACCTCATCTTTCATTGACAAGACCTGTGAAAGACTCAATTTTGCGCCAACGAATTATTCTAGATATGCAAACACTTACTTTCATCGCAGAAAACTCCTGTATAGCCAGGAATGCATGTGCAGGTACTACCAGGCACAACACCATTTGCGATCGAGTTACAGGTTCCATTCACGCATTTATCGTTGTAAGCACAAGTATCAATTTCTGAAATTGACTGGTAACAGCGATACTGCAGATGTTTCGTGTAGCAAAGCACCTTCACAGTTCTTTCCGTTATAGAATTCGAGACAATTGCACTTGTAGGTGCCGTCGTAATTTTCGACGCATGTTCCACCATGCAAACAAGGGTTCGTGCCACACTGAGGTGCATCTTAATCCATGAAATTACAATAATTTCTAGCAAATGTAAGAATGCTTACATTCGCATTTTTTCCCGGAATACCCAGCCACACATTCGCATGTATAAGTCTTCAAGACATAGTCGGGTTTGCAAACTCCATCATTCAAACACGGATTGCTGTCACATGGTCCGGATATCCCTATGCACTGTTTTGTTACGAAAACACGAATAATCTGCCACTAACGACACTCACGTGTTTCGCAGTTGGTTCCGGTATACTGGGGATTACATTTACAGAGGAAATTGTTACTATCAGGGGCCATGTCCACACATACACCATGGTCGAGATCAGCATTGCACAATGTACGATTGTCGCAAGCGTTCGGATCTTGGACTATAAACGTTGCAATTAATTTTATGCAGAGAGGCAGAACTAGAGTAATTGATCCACGTAGATGCTTATTTGAATTTTTTGCTCAAAAAATGGCATCACATAGAATCGGGTTGTAAGTTTTTTCCAGCTCCTCCGACTTTTCTCTGCCTCTTTTTGGTAAGTTTCATAATGAGAAAAACCAAAAAATAAATTCTAACCTACAGTGTCGTAAATATACACTAGAGCATGCTTGGCATTACCACAGTCTTCAGAGATATCTCCATTGCACTTGCTCTTGCAGAGCATATTATTTGCTGACACATTCAAAAACGATGCGGTTGAGAGATAACAGCTCGTACCGGCCACTGCTGCAAAGATAATTGATAAGTTCGCCAATTTAATTGAAGTTATAGTGTCAACGTGATTGATGTCAATATTGTGTGTGTTAAAGGCATTGCAAAAAGGGCAAGGTAAAAGGAGTTTCGATTTTTTCAGCTTTTATGCGTGAGTAAACATGCATGGATCTTTTGAGAAGAATCAAATTATGGCCTCTTTTCGTGTAAATAATTTTTAACAAGAAATGATAAGCTTGCAAATCAAAAGTAAATGTTATTGTACAAGAATGAAACTCTCACATACATTATGTTTTCTTTAATGATTTTGAATATGCAGGTTATTCGGATACCGATAATATGAAGATCAGATTGCAATGATGGCAGTAATACAATAATATAGCGATAAATCAACAATATTAGTTTGATTTTTAATTCAAGCATGTTTTTTGAGGTTCGTCTTTGGATCACAGTAATCCTAAAATACTCTTACTAAGCGCAATAAAAACTCTTGCAATCAGCAAATCTTTGGTTATACAACGTAATTCTGTTTTGTTTTCTTATCTTTGAAGCTTCTAAACTTTAGAAGGAACAAAGGTACGAAAGCGATAGCATAAATTGCAACGCTGCAAAGAAGACGTAAGAAAAACTTGCAGATATTAAGAATCAACCTAATAATAATATAATGACCACAAAAATATGCAGTTTTTACAAAAATAAACTCACTGAACACGGTGTAGACTGGATCGAACGTCGAAGTTAAAAAATTCTTGCACTTCGTCATTGTCATTTTTGGATCAGTGATATTCTTGTAATATGACGCATCAGCTAGAGCGGCATTTGTATCAAAACAACCCTCACTCACAGGTGAACCACCTATAAATTAGAATCTCGGAAAGATTTTTGTCTGGTAATCAAAAAAAAATAGTAAGAAAGACATATCACATCACAAACAGTTGCCAACCAAAAGAAACTTCTCATACTCCAAAGGTACACTGGCTTCCCGCAATAGGCTTGCTGGTAGTTCTCTTTGCATCTGCAGTAGAAATCAGCGCCATCGAAGATGGACTCACACACTCCTCCATTTTGGCAGGTAACGTTGGTGCATGGATTATTATCT